CCCGGCCCGGCCCGGCCCCACACCGCCCGCAGAACGGGGACCCCGCCCCGGCCGCGCCGCCGCCAGGGGCTCAGCCGGCCGCGGAGCCGGGGGAACTGATCCCTTCCGACTGACAGCGCCTCTCCCCCAGAACAGCCATCCCAAAGAGCGCGTTCCGGCCGTAAAACACCACATCGCCTCCATTGCTCTCACGCTCATACGGAAGCTTGCACACTCGTCCATACAGCTCCCTTTACGTGCCACCTCAGGGTCATGTGGAACAACAACAGTATGTGCTTTACGCGTGTCACAACTAGTTCTTTTCCAGGCACTTGCAGACTGACGGATCTGATCATCTTCCCTAAATAACTGTTTTTAAAAGCTATAGATTCCATTCAAAACTCTTCTAATACACGAATTTCACTTCCTGTTCCTGCTATTTCAAGGATACTGCTCACTAATACACGATTTCCCTTCCTGTTCCTGCTATTTCAAGGATACTGCTCAAATCAGCATTTTCCACTGTGGCGCTATAAAGTACCCATTCAACAGGATTTTCTCCATTTGTATAAAGATTATTCAATAAGCAAAAGCATAATAATCTCAAGGAAAAGAAAAGACCAACAGATTTGGAACAATGTGGCATATCTGAATATCCACACGGACTACTAAAAAAATTAGAACAGTTCAAGGATAAAGGAGTTGGAAACCAAGTCAACACGCTTGCATGATGCACATGCTGGGCTCAGAAAAGCTTAGGCATTATGGAATACAGATGTAATGATGATAAGATCATGGAAGTGCAAATTTCAGTGGAAGCAACAGAAGAACACACTGCAATAAATTGTTTTGGTCGGACAAGAAGTAAGGCTACAGGACCTGAGTAAAGAAAATTACCTTTAAAAATGCTTTCCTACTATTTGAAATACAAGTCCTGTTCAAGGAAGACCGTGGAAGCTTGTATCAGCACTACAAGGCGTGCAAATAACCCCCATTTACTATTAACAAACATGACTAACTCGAGACAAGGTATGCTTCAGCTTCACCCCCAAATGTGCAATATACAACATCCCCACCAGTTAAGAGTCAAGAAAGTTTTCAAGCAAAACAGAAAAGCTGAAGAAAACCAGCACAGAAATGGCTTTCGAGAAACTAAGAGCGTGTTCTGAAGTGTCCGAAACATGCCCTAGGCTTTCTCTCCGGCAGCAAAGCAGCTGTCCCCAAAACAAAACCACGAGCCCTTCGACAGGTTAGCTAATGCTGCAAGCTCTTTGCTACCCTGTGATATAATGTGCAATGCCTGAAGAGAGAAAGCCCTTGAAACCCCAATGGGTAAAAAAAAATTACAGTGAGAATGGGAAGGTGCAATCAATTCACTGTTTAAAAAGCTCGGCTGAGGTGCAGACATAAGGAAAGCAGTTTCAAGAGAAGTTCAAAAAGATGACGTACCTCACGTGCCACGGAATTAACAACAGTATATGGGGAATAGATTGATACCCTTTCAGCTTCTCATCTTTCAAAGGTGTTAGCTTCAGACACCATTCTAGAAATCACATCTCCTGCATTTCACCAAAATACGGGGCACCTTTGACAAATTCAAGTTAACACCATCTGCTTCTCCAAAATCTTTACTCATACCAAATAGATTAGACTTGGGTTTAACATTTTAATTTGCTTTTGAGAGGGTAACTGAATATTAGTTTTGGGAAAAAAACCACAAAACTTCTGTATAGTCATCTTAATGGCTGGAAGGGGAAAAAAAATCTCACTACATAATGCTGAAGAGTGATGCAAGGACAGAAAAAAATGCCTTATCACAAATTTCTATGTGATGCAATAAAATCTTTTTTCAATCACATTTCAGAACTAATTGAATTCAGAGACTTCCATTCAAAATGCATTCTTAATGCATTACAGCCATCAACAAAGTAATACAGAATCTTTCAACTTTTTCAACTGTACAACCGTATTTGAAAATGAGACTTTTTTTAAAAAACAATACCCTGTTACAGAGCGCTGGAAATGAGAACATTTCATGACAGTGTTCGAAGTTGTGAAAAACACTGACGGGTTACTTTTTTCAAGACGCGATACAAGCCAAAGAATGTCAAAACCCAAAAGCTAAACCAACTGCTGAAAATACTCATTAAACAGGCGTAAATAAGAACTTAAAAGAAGATACATGTACAATATCATCAGATATTTGTACAATTCAATATTGACAACGTCTGTAAAATATTATAAACAATCAATATTTTGTAAAATATTATAAACAATAAATTGAAAGGATTAAAGTCACCAGTATTTCTTTGGCGGCAGAAGGAAGGTTTCATGAATGCAACAGAAAAAAGAAGTGTGTGTATATTTAGAAACAAGAAGGGCGGGGGGGGTGTACACATATCCCAGTATACACAAAGCACATCATCTCATGCCCAAGAAACTGCAAGTGTTACTGATACGGAAGTCCCAAGTGAGTATTATCCTGAGAATGAAGGTAATTAAAAAGCACACTTTGTTCCCATTAAAAAGGGGCACCAGTGTATTTTAAGTAGAGAACTTTTTCGCAATTTTTAAAGTAGCATTAGTTTAATTTTATATTAAAAATTCTTAGGATACCATATTGTTGTACCATAGCTGCTCAATTATGAAAAGTCTTAAACTGCTGAGGACAACATCTATAGCACTACGGAAAAGCCAGCTTTTCAACTACATGTACTTACTATTTCTGAAAATAATTTTCCAAGGAATCTACCTTTCCCACTCATAATCATCAATGTACAGTAAAACAGAAGGGAAAAAGGTTTTAGCAGGCTCTAGTGAAAATATTATATATTGCCCTCACCATCACCAAAACCACACATCAGCAATTGAACACATAAAACATTGAGTGTATTATGCACAAGTGTCTCAGAGAATAGCTTGTGAATAGTTTTTAAAAAATAATATTTTTAATTTCTATTTAAATTTTAAAGGACCTTTTTAGGGCCCCAGGTTCTTCCATTTTGAAGTCTATCAATTTACCTCTCACAGCTCTTGGGAGATGCTAGATCACAAGGGCCTGGCATGGTTAATATCAAATGCATGCCTGCTCCTGCAAATCTGTCAACATTGGACACAGAAATGTACATCCCTGCTTATACACAGCCTCTGTACCTACTGGCCTACTTCAAAATTTTTAGAAGACGGTTCATGACATAAATTATTAATCAACTACATAATACAATTTAGTCTCTATACACTCTGTTTTTGATTCATGAGTTACTAATTTTTTTCAACCCTTCCAGACACTGTTTTCTTTAGTGCCCTTAACTACATGCTATTTGTTATTTCAGACACCTCAGGGCTTCTCTTTTCCCGCATAATAACCAAAAGCCAGAGCAATCCAATGTAACAGAATATTATAAAACAAGACAAAAAAATTTTACAAAATTGAGGCAAGTCTCATGATGATTTCCTTTTCCAAAATGTTATCTGTCCAGTTCATCTCCTTTTCATACAAAATTACAACAATTTCCACTACCTTGTAGT